CATATGGTATTTGTCTTTCTCTGACTGGGTTATTTCACTTAGCATAATAATCTCCAGGTTCATCCATGCTGTTACAAAAGATAAGATTTTCTTTTTTTTTTCCCCACGGCTCGGTAGTATTCCACGGTGTAAATGTACCACAGCCTTTTTATCCACTCATCTACTGATGGGCACTTGGGCTGTTTCCAGATTTTGGCTATTGTAAATAATGCTGCAGCGAACATAGGAGTGCATATATTCTTTCGAATTCAGGTTTTGGGGTTTCTTCAGATATATTCCCAGAAGTGGGATCGCTGGGTCAAAAGGCAAGTTCCATTTTTAATTTTTTTGAGGAAACTCCATACTGTTTTCCACACTATTCCTTTAACGCTGGTAGATTCCATTTGCTCATGATTTATTTTGCCCATTTCCTCATTATTAATGTTATCTTGGTTACAATTTTCTTTTGTGTACTTTTTCAGGTTTTGGTATCAATGATTTGATGACTTTGTAGAAGTAATCAGGAAACTTATTTTTTCTTATGAACAGTTTCAGTAGCTTTCAAAAATATCTGATTGCTGCAAGCTTAGGAAGAACTTGTGAGGCTATCAGGGCCTGGAGCTCTTTCTCAACTTTCTCTAGTTTAATAGTTCTCAAACTTGGCTGCACATTGGAATCACCTGGGGAGATTTTAAAACAATTGATGCCTGAATCTCTCTGAATACATTTTGTTTTGATTAGTATGGTATGCAGCCTGGGCATGGGGACATTTTAAAACTCTTCAAGTGACTATAATATGAAGCCATGGTTCAGAACTGCTGCATTTCTTTCACTTCTCTCAGGATATTAGTTTAATTTGGTTTCTATCTTTTCTTTAATGAATTAGAGTGATTTATATTTACCTAAAAAGTTATCTGTATTTCCAGACTTTCAAACTGTTATAGGGTTTTGCAAGGTATTGTTGCATAATTATTTTTACTTTTGTTGTGTCTGTGATTATTTCACTTTTTATTTGTTCTTTTTTATTCAGTTTATTGGGGTAACAGTGGTTAATAGTATTACATAATTTTCAGGTGTACAAGATTATAATTCAATACCTATATACTCTTGTGTGTGCTCTCCACCCAGAGTCTAGCTTCCTTCCATTACCGTATATTTGATTCTTTACCCACTTCACCTTTTCCCCACCAATTTCCCTTCTGGTAGCCACCCTTCTGTTGTCTCTCTCTCTGAGTTTATTTTTGTTTGTTCTATTAGTTTGTTAATGTTTGTTGTATGTTCCCCATATGGGTAAAATCATAGTTTTTGTCCTTTTCCATCTGACTTGTTTCACTTAGCACAATACTCTCAAGATCCACCCAGGTTGTCACAAATGGCAATATTTCATCTTTTGATGGCTGAGTAGTATTCCACTCTGCATGTGTATAAGTGTAAACCTAAGTGTCCACTGGCACATCTTCTCTTATCAATCATCTGTCAATAGACACATAGGTTTACACTTTTTTATTTCTAATTTGTGTATTTATGCTTTCTTTCCCACTTCATTTGTTATTGTTATTAGATGAATAGTAGTTTGTCTATTTTATTGGCTTATTAAAGGACCAATTCTTGAATTTATTTATTGACTCTACTCTTTTTCTGTTTTTGTATTTAATAATTTATTTTATGATCTTTATATATTTTCCCTTTCTGGTCCTTCTTAGGTTAATTTTGTTTATCTGCTTCTAACCTCTTGAGTAATTTCATTTTGGTTTATTTCCTTTATCCCTATTCCTTTAGTTAAATGATAAAAGTATTTCAGGCTATTAACTTTTCCTTTAACAAATATCTGTATGCAGTACTTGTTAATATACACTACTTTTATTATCAGTTTTTTATATAGTTTGTAATTGCTGTTTTAATTTCCATTTTTGACCTAAGAGTTATTTTCAGAGAGCTTTTTGTGTTATCAATTTTCAAGTAGATAGGGTTATTTTTATGATTATGTCTAGTTTTAGTGTCACAGAATTGCTTCTGTATTAATTGGACAATCTTTCTAAAACATCTGCTTGATCTTAATTGAACAAGTGTAACACCAGGGACTTAAAAAAGGAAAAGCAACTGATATATTCAATTTAATAAGCAGAAAAATAAGTGGCACCAACTGCTATCCCATCTCAGACAGATTGATCTTTAAGTCTGCGAGCTGCCTTCTTGGGAAGGAAGTGCTTGAGACTCAATGCACCAGAATCCCAGGTGTGTGATCAGGACTAAGGTTTTGTTCATTGTTTCCTTTACATGCTTCTATCAGAAGCAAGTCCATGCTAAGATCATTGCATTAAGCAAGAGCGAGCAAACTTTTTCTGTAAAGGGCCCAGATAGTAAATATTTGTGTGTTGGGTTACTAATATTGCATGGAAAGCATTTATAATAAAAATTATTCATTGTTTGAAAATCACATTTAAATGGGCACATTATATTTTTATTTGCTAAATCTGACAACCATATTTGCAGGCTATGTAGTCTTTGTGGCAACTGCTTAACTCTGCTGTTGTAGTGGGAAAACAAACATAGATAACATATAAGCAAATGGGTACGACTGTGTTCCAATTAAACTTTATTAAAATAGTCAGTGGACTATATTTGGCTTGAGAGCTATAGTTTGTCCACCCCTGCATTAGACCAGTAGTTTGAACAATTAGTGTGCTTCAGAATCACATGGAGGGATTGCTGGGCCCAGCTCTAGAGTTGATGATCCCATAGATCTAGAGTGAAGCACAACAATTTCTGTTTCTACCAAGTTCCCAGGTGATGCTGCTACTGCTGGTTTGTGGACCACTGCATTAGGAAAAAATGACTATTACCTTTTTTTCCCTAAAACCCACTCAGAGGGACATAAGCTTATTTCTTATTGTCCATTTAAGACTTCATCAGTCCTATGAGACAAAAATTTTAAGTGCTGAGATTTAAATATTCACATGGCCAATCTTCCTGACCAGCAGGGCTTCCCTAACACCTATGGACTAATTACAAAAGGTTACTCCCTCTCAGGGAAGGATTAGAAAAAGGCACCACCTCCACTAAATTTACACAGCCTCTCACCAAGGTACACAGCTTGGTAAGTTGAGCACAGGCTGGATTTCAGCATTTACTCGCCCTTCAGGAGTCTTTGTGCAGTACTCAAACTACGTGACACTCCTGATGTCCCTGCTGATCAGAAGAATGTTATCTACAATTCCTCAAAACAACACATTCTAAATTTAAAATATTCAGCCCAGCCAGGCATGGCTCAGCGGTTAAGCGTCGACCTAGGATCCAGGCGATCAGGGTTCGATTCCTGGTCAGGGCACATGCCCGGGTTGTGGGCTCGACCAATGACTCTCTCATCACTGATGTTTCTATCTCTCTCTCTCCCTCTCCTTTCCTCTCTCTGAAATCAATAAAGATTTTTTATAAATAAATAAATAAATAAATAAATAAATTTAAAATATTCAGTGAGAGTTTACATCCTTTCTTGAAGTAAAAAAAGACCCCAACACAATATTTTTTCCACTTGGATGTGATAGACTGACAGACTTTTTGTCAGCTTTATTGGGGATATAATTGACAAAATTATAAGATATTTAAAGTATACAATGTGATGATAAATAATATTCCTAAGAAAAATCCCATACACAAACTGACCCCTACACTCTTTTTTTCATACCTCAAGGGGAGAAAATAAACATATTTTAAATAAATTTTCTCTGTATAGAAATTTAAAAATTTAAATGCCTATAGTGTGGTTAATATAGTCTGCACTATTTGGCTCTTTGGAATTCATTTAAGTTTTCTTTATATCAACACTCTAATATATCAACACTATTTTGCAAATGTTCCATGATCCTTCAAAAGGGTGTATTCCCTCTATGGAGGTGGTAGAGTTTGAAATACATCTGCTTATAAACATGTACTTTCTTGTTAATATTATCCATATGTTATATGAATTCTCTATATTGTTACTTATCCCCCTGATCTAATGACTTGGGATATAGTGTAATCCCCATGAGGTCATGGAAGAAGTTTTTATGTATGATTTTATATCCCTGGCCCCTAGCACAATAGGTGGATCATAATAAGCATTCAGTTATTAAATGAATAAACTATTGGGGGCTGTAAAGTAGGGTGGAATGCAATTGTTCCCAGTTCTCCTTCAAATAAGAAATTAATTTGTATCCTTTTTACTTTCTCACTATTGGACTTGTAGCAGATCCCCTAACCTGGAATCAGCTGTAATTGCTGCATTTCTTCCTGAAGATACACTTCACCCCTACACTTAAGTTCCTGTGGCAGGTTCGACTCAAATGTTGTGATGGTCTTAAACTTAGAAAAATAATTACTGAAAAGATATGAACTAAAATATTGATGTGGTTTCTCTCAGGGTGACTTTATACTTATTTAGTTTTGCTTTTGCTCCTCGGTATTTTCCAGACGTTTTATAATGAGCAGGCATTACTTTCATAGTTAAGAGAACAAAGAAAGTTTATACTTAGAAATATCAGTAATTTTTCTCTCTGATATTTCTACTCTCTAGTTCAAGTTCTACTCATTAAGATTACACAGAAAAAGCAAATTCTCTCTTCTAGATGGAAAACCTAAAGGGACCTCTCAGATTCTCCCTGAGTCTGCCCATTAAAGTTTCCTTCAAAGTTTATTACTTGGTTCCTAGATCTTTCACTCTTATGCCTCTGAACATAATCCCATTTGTAGATAATCATTTAAAGTAGAGCTCCCAGACTAGATACAGTATTTCTTGTACAGCCTGTTCCACACAAAGTACAATAGAATTTCCCTTGGTTCATATTATGATCCACTATTTCAGCCTACAATAGCTTGGCATTTTCAGTACCCACAACACTGCTGACTCATGTGGAAGTTTACTGAAATTCCTGTCCTTTTCATTCCTTTGCCCCCAATCTGTTTTTATACAAGTAGGTAGCACTTACACACAGCTATATCACTTGTGCTTTTCTTGCCCTCCCTCCTCAAGCAGGCCCTAGATGATGGACCTAAGGAACAGAAGCACAGTGACAGAGTTTATCGTCTTGGGCTTTGAGCAGAGCTCCCTTTCCACTCAGGCATTGCTCTTTGCCCTCTTCCTAGTCCTCTATAAGCCTGGCCATGGCCATGAATGGCCTCATTATCTTCATCACCAGGACAGACCCCAGGTTTAGCCCCATGCAAATCTTCCTTGGCCACCTATCCTCCCTGGGTATCTGCTTCATCACCACCATATTCCACAGATGCTGGTCCACCTCATGGTCAAGAACCACACTCTCTCTTTTGCCATCTGCTTGACCCAAATGTACCTGGTTTTTGGTGTGGGTGTGGCTGAGTGCATCCTGCTGGCTTTTATGACCTATGATCCTTACGTTGCTACCCGCTCTCCACTTAGTTACACTCAGATCATGAGTCAGCAGGTCTTTGTGAAGCTGGTGAGTATTGCCTGATTCTTTAGGCTGATCAATGGCATCCTGCTTGACTATATGACATTTCATGGTCCATTTTGTAGAGACAACCACATAAAAAGCTTCTTCTTATGGAGACACCCCCCTCCCCCGTTTAGTCTGAGGGTAATCTTTGCTGATGTCATCTTGGTGCTGCTCAGCCTCGTGGTGCTCACTGTCATCTCGTATGCCTGCATCCTGGCCTCCATCCTTGGCAGAGCCCCCTCCTCAGGTCGGGGGAAGACCTTCTTTAACTTGCACCTCCCATTTGACTGTGGTCATCTTTTTCTATGCCTTGGCCACGTTCTCCTGTATGATCCCCTGCAGCATACATGGCCTTTACAAAGACAAGCCTTTCTCCCTCCTCTGCACTATCATCACCCCCATGTGAAACCCCATCATCTACAATTTTTGAAACAAGGAAATGAAAGGGGCCATGGTGAAGGCCTTTAGGAGGGCCCGCCTGGCCCAGACAGAGTCTGTCTAGCTGGAAGACCCCTGGAGGGGAAGCTCCTCCTTTAGCCCTGACAGTTGGCTAACTCTCCAATGCTAAACGGCTCCAAGAAAGAACATCCATAGCTTCCTTTCTACTAGCATCAAACCTGGAAGATCCTACTGATGTCTAATGCTCATCTATCTGACTTCACTTCAAGCACAGTTTTCTCTTGGACTTGCCTCGGGAGAATTTCCTGAGTTTTCTTTCTTCTAAGTTCTCCAATAGGATCCAATAAATAAGTGCACTTCATTCCATTTCATTGTATTTGTCTAGCAATTTGGCGTGCTATTCCCAGCCTGTGCTTTGCATATACAGTTAGGTGTAGGCTTTTTTTTCTCTTTCAACTTACTATTTCAGCCTGCTTTTCTTTCTCACATTCTAATCTCATATCCTAAATATTCCCTCACCCACCCTGCTCCTATATGAGGAAAAAAAAAAAGTAAAGAAGCAAGAAAAAGAGAATTAGGGAGCAGCATTGACATTAAGAAAAGTCAGTTAGAGAAAAGGAGAAAAAGAAAAAACTAAGAGTCAGCAGCCTGAAGTCTATCTTCTTAACCTCCACTAGCCCTTGAGGAAGAATTTGTGGTGGCACTACATTGCTGACACCGCATTCAATTTGTTTATGTTTGTGTGTTGTTGGGGAAAGGCAAGTGGGAGAGGCCAGTGTGTCAAACCCCTTCTCTTAAATCCTTTAGTTTCTTTAAGTAACATGACTGCTTGATGTTTCCCTTTAGACTCAAGTAGTAAGTGCCGCTAACAAGCTTCTCAGACTACTAGTTTCCTTCTCTGCTATTCATGCCCCAAATTAACTCCCCTCTTCCTACTGCTTTTCTTTTTTCAATCTTTCACGTTATTCCAGTTCAATCCTATTCTACCCTACCACCTCATCTTATATGGATCCATTTCATTCCCTGCACTCTAAGGAATATCTCCCCACACTACCTCCACCATTGCAGAAGCCTTTCTATTTGCAACCCTGACCTCTCTGGTTTCCTCTAGCTTCTCTCCCTGACCAAACCTAGAGTCCCTTAAGAGGGTATTATATTCTCAGCTGTTCTCTTCCTTTGAAAACTGCATCTTTCTCATGCCCCTTTCATAGCAGATAGGAAAGAAAAGGGAATAGGCCTGTTCTTTATTTTCTGGTACCACTTCCATAAGATGAACACACCTCATTTAAGATGCTCTCAAAAATAGATGTACTACCTTTTCCACATCCTCATATCACATACTATCCTCTGCAGTGACTTAAAGCAGTAGCTTCACTCCACAAAACTATGTATTTTGAGTCCAAATTGGTGAATCTAGATATTAGGGGACATGTGAGAAGCACTCCTTAGAGAGGTGGAAGAAATGAGACACCACTCTAATCGAGAAGAAACAATAAGCATGGAACCTAAAGATTTCCATTATCAAAGAAAAATTACACCAGGCAATGTTAAACAGGCAAGAAGGACTTTGAGACTATTGTAATAGGAGATTGGACTCAACTCTGTGGGGAGATTTTTTAAGCTGCGGGTGTTGGGAGGGGTCTTAGGCCACCTTTGTATGGTGATTGATCTTACCCAAAGGAAAAGTGAGTTTAAAGGAGGTTTTTCAAAATTTGGAGCAAGGTGCTCACTGAAGTTAGACTCTTACCCTCCCACAGAAACTAGGGAATTGGGGTGCTATCTTCCTTGAGGGTTACCTTTCAAAGGGATGGCTCCCAGGTCCTTGAGAAAGACATTCCCTGGGTCTTAAAACTGGCAAGAGGCTTTTAAGATTTGTATACATTTCAAAGGGGCAGAGAAGGAATTTGCCATTACTGTACAAGTAAGTGCTCTGAGAGAAGGGAGGTCAGGTGCCTACAGTCAAGAAGAAACCTGTCTAGAGTTTAGTCAAATGGAAATGGGGATGGTAAGGTCATCTTGGTCACCACAGAGAACAAAAGAAGTGCTTATTCTTCCCCCTCACATCTCAGTTTCCTCTCCAAGTTTGAAAATTCCTGTGTCCATGAGCCTTTAAAAGAAAAAAGTGAAGGGGGGTGGGCGTGAATTACAGGAAAAGGAGAGGAAGGAGTGCTTTAAAAAAAGTTTTATGAGAATAATTTCATAGTGTACATATGCCCAGCATTGTTATATGCTGACATCATAAACAAGACACAGTTCTGGCGTTTAAGCTCCAAGCGAAATAGCGCAGACACGGACAAGCAATGGTACTACAAAGGGCAAAGGTTGCAAGAGGCCTACACAAAGTACATTAGGAGGGCAGATAACTGCAGCTAACATTTATGAAGCACTTATGCTGTAACAGCTTTCTATTTAATCATAACAAAACCCTCGAAGTACTAGCATTAACTCCACTTTGAGATGCAAAGCTGAGGCTCACAGAAGTTAAGTGGTCTCAAAATCACACCGTATTTCAAAGGGCATAGCTGCAGTTCTAACTGGGGCTCCAGTTCCAAAGCTAGCACTCCTAAGGAGGTGGTCGAACAACTGTCCCTAAGAAAGGGGCCGCCTCTGTACCGAGAAGGTGATATTAGAACTGAGCCTTAAAGAATAAACAATTGTAAGGTAGAAAGCGGGAGGATAGGGGTTAGAAGCCGGGGATGGGTAATTCCAGGCAAGAACTGCCGGATTCGTCGTTAAAAATGGTGCATTCGACGCGGATGGCAGAAGGTGAATAGAAACAGGAATGCGGGAAAATCAGCCTTTGTGACCTACAGCTTCTCAAGGGCGAGCACTTTCCGGTTCAAGGTCCTGGACTCCCGCCAGGGGAGCGGACGCAAGGGGGCTCTAGCGCAGGGGAAGCCGCCGCACTGGACGCGTCTCCCTCGCCGCAGCATCTGCCCAGGCCCCGGAGCCCGGAAGGTATACAAAGAGCCCACGGGGACGCGAAAACCCATGTAATAAATAACCAGAAGCTACTCTGAAATGTGCGTCCCTTCCCAGTCCCTTCTCAAGTCCACGATCCGGGCTACCCAAACTACCCAAGAGGGGATGGGCACTGACCCAGTTACAACCTGGAGAGGAGGTGGACGCAGTTGGCGCTCAGAATCCGCGGCCAATCAGCCTTCCACGACCTCTCGGATCATCGCTGTGGCAACCAATGCGTGCAGTCTCCTTGGCTGCCCCTGGCCGGCCGAATTGCTCTAATCCTACCACCTCCGGGAAGCCAGCTATTTCGGGAAACTGGGCAGTCACCCTCCCACGCTGGAGAGCGGACCTTGGGCTTGGGATCACCTCCCAGCAGAGTGGAATTGTTGAAATGCCGCGCCCCTTTGGCGGGGGATGGGATGGAACGGTGGCGGACCGAGGCTGGGGGCAAGCCTGAGCGGAGATCTTGCCAATCACTTCGAGCTCCCATAGCTCCCAGCCTTGTCCGCGGTCCTTAGTCTAGTTCTTTTCAGGTGATATCCCCCCTTTTAGCGAACTGCGTAATTGTTGGGTTCCTATTCCTTCTCTTGTATAACAGCAATGTCCCCTGTCCACACTCCTGAAAGCCTTCTTGGACCCCTTCCACTTTCTCAGTTTATTGGACTTTCTTTGAGTTCCCTTCAAAACCTGGGCGGTTTCCTACCACTGTACTCTTGCTTTTCGGTCTTCCTCGCTAGTCGAATTCAGTTTTGAGTCGTCCGCACAGTACCTGGCCATAGGAGGCGCTGTAGCGCTACTTCTGAAATGATATCGTAACAATCTTGATGTAGTAACCAAATGAAAGCAAAGCTTTTCCGATGGGAGTAGAGAGGGAGTGTCCAGAGCGCTGAGCCCTCAAGGAAGCCCCAGAGGCACCTATTATTGGTGACTTCAGCCGAAATATGCAGTTTAATATATAGAAATATGGTTTACCCAGGACACAAAAATTAAACAACTGGAGCCTCTAGGGGCACTCTTAAAACCTCATTTTGGACTTCTAACCTGGTTACACGTGTTTGTTTTTATTTCCCAGTCTAAAGACCTAGATATATGTCTGCCTCTTCAGATTAATCCCTCACCCTCTTCACCCAGCTCTGGGCTTTCGAGGCTGACCTCCATGGACTGTGTAAACAGATTCCCTTACCTCAGGCTTTCTTTTGGGTCCAGTCAATGAGTAGGATAGGCTGAAGATCAAAAGGAAGTAGTAGTGTGAGGCTGGGATATTTAATCCTCTTTTCCCTGTGTGGGTTGAGTCCCTTGAACTAAGATCTCAGCTCCTATTGGCTGGCCCTCTCTACCTAGTTCTCTTAAGCATTTCTAAGTTCTGGAAGCGGCATCTCCCATTACCTGTGTTTGGAGGATGTGAGGCCATGCTCTAGGGTAACCACAGCCCAGGCCAAAATTGTGGGAAAGTAACCCAACCCAGGATAGTTCTCAGTTTCTAAGTTCTAGAATGACCACCTCCCAAAGACCTTTTCAGGCTTACTCTCTCTGTTAGGGGAAGAGATATTGATCATGCTCTGTTGATTGTGACTATTAGCTATAGTTATAAGAAATATTAATCATGTTCTGTTAACTGTGATTGTTCTGTTCTAATTAGAAAAAGCACTTTCTAACCTGGCTGGGAGTTGTTTGGCTCAGGACATGGGAATTACCCTTGGAATGTGTTCCATTCTCTTTTTCTGAGAACTGTCTATCATCATGGAAAGATAAACAGCCTTGTTCCTGAAACCATGGAATCCTGAAGGAACTCCTCCCTTTGCAACCCCCAGCCTACCTTGTCTGCTTCCCCATGCCTCTAATTCCTACTTTCCCATGTAATCTTTGTCCTTCTGCCCAATATAAGCAGCTGGCTTATGGGGGGCAATAGAGCAGATTTTCGTGGGTGACCATTACTGCTCTCCCATATTGCTGGCAATATTGGAATAAACACTCATATACGATTCAACCCTCTGTCTGCTTAATTGACTCAAGTGGTGACAGGCAGCCCGGACCCATTGTTGTCCTGTTTCACCTCTAATATGAGATTCAGGGTTCTGTATCCTCCTTGTGATTTCCCTATACCCTACCCACACCTTTGTAAATAATCCTTTGTTAAAC